TAAAAAATCATCTCCAACTTTTTTGTTTTTATCTCAAAACAACATCTCTATTTTTCATCAAAAATCTCTCTAAAACTCTTCTTCTAAGTTGGAGGGGAAAGGCCTTTTTTATACTTGTAGGGAAGATGTCTTAGCTATGAAGGCTACCATAAAACCTAGCATCAATGGCTATCAACTCTAGCCTTTACGGCTAAAGTTACAAAGGTGCAAAACTTCCATGTGCATAATGATCATCAACTCTATCATCAAAAGATGAGAGTTACAAAGGTTGAATAAATAAATAAAAATACATATATATATATATATAATGCTATTTAAATAATCTGACTAGATGGGTTGCAAAACGGATACGGGTATTGGATCACAACCCGATCCACACCCAATCTAAAACATATGCACAAGACAAGTCCAGTCCAACATAGCACATAGCCCATGCCCAAGACTAAGTCCAACACATGCACATACACAAGCCTAGGCCAGTCCAGACCAAGACTAAAACTAAGTCCAAGTCCAAGTCCAAGCCCAAGCCTAGGCCCAAGCCCAACTTCTATTGATACCCACTTTATGAAATAGGTCTCATTCACAACTCAATGATTTCGGCCCATCAATTTTATTGTAATTTTCTCACTTGAGAGAATACAAAACGAATCAGACCTACCTCAACCGGTGGTTGAGTCCCATTTTAATTTTAAATTAAAGTTGCCAAAAACCAATATTTTCCAATAGTTGAACACATATAAGAGGATATTTTCTAGACTATATACTCACATGTCCAAGGAGGTGGAGGTGGTGATAAGGATGAAAGAAACCTCTGTTTCTCTTCCCACTCACAATCTCCAACACCAAATTACCAAAACTAAAAACATCTAATTTTACCGAGAAAAGCCCATTCATCATGTATTCTGGAGACATGTAGCCACTATAGCAAAGCATTCAATAAGGAAATCGAGTATCAATCAACAACAAGTAAATGATTGTATAGAGCATCTGAAGAGATTCTTACTATGTTCCAACCACTTTCTCTGTATTTCCTTCTGTCTCATTCCCTCCAAAAATTCTAGCCATTCCAAAATCTGATATTTTTTTATTCATTTCAATATCTAGCAAAATATTGTTAGCTTTGAGGTCTCTATGAATGATTTTCAGTCTGGAATTTTAATGGAGATAAAGAAGCCCACGGGCAATTCCAATAATAATGTGGAAGTGCTTTGGCCAGTCCAGTAAGGTTTTCCTGCTTTTATCTACCCAAATTTTCATCCAGGTGAGTTCATGCTCCTAATTCAATTTAACAAGAAAAAAAAAATACATAATAGAAAATCATGCAACTGCATATGTAGCAATAGAACCATATAATTTTTAGTCCCATCCTCAATAATTCAACCGTTAAATGGAACCAAAAGAATTTAAACAAAATTATTTCTAGCTGCCACAATTTGTTTATTTCCCTGTATACATGTTTGGCCACTTGACCTTGGTCCAATAGTAGACTAGTTGCACTATATTTACTACAGTTTCGAGAGAGCCAAACCAAAGAAAAAGAAGTCCAGGCTTTTGTTAGGCATGAATTCGTAGATTAACATCTTTTCTTCTTCTTGAATGCAACATCATAAAAGCTTCACGAGATTTCGGTGTTGAAGTTTAGCAATACAGCTGACTTCAGTTTTGTGCTCATCGACTCCTTGTCTGGAATGTTTTGAGAGCCGTTTAATAGCTATTTCTTATCTGTCTTCCTGTTTACCCTAAAGATTACCATTTCGATGGCTAGAGTATACTTAAAACTTAAAAGAAGTCACTTCTTTTCTTTCCCTTCCTCATTGTTGTATCTTTTACTTTCTTATATTCCAATGGCTGACATTGTTCCAATAAGAGTGATCATGTATAACAACACACAAATTCATGCATACGAGAAGTTCACTCCACATACGTGCTAAGTTTCATATATGAAAAGATATTTCACACCAAATGTGTTCTGTAAAATCTGAAAGGAAAATATTTTGTGTAAAATTACAGGAAATTAGGGATTTAACGACGTTTAATTAACAGCGCTTTAGTAAACGTCACTTTTTCTAATAATTAACGGCGTTTCTTAAACGTTGCATTTGTTATTAATTAAAACGGTACCGTTTTGTGTATCGAGACGTTTGAAAACCGCTTCCAAATCCTGTCCCTCTTCGCACCCTCTTCTGTCTCCCCAAACCTTTATTTTGAAAACCCTATTTTGAGCACAGCTGTCACTCACTCACTCTCTTGCTTACTCTCTCTCTCTCTCTCTCTCGCTCTCTTTTTCTATCAGAGGATCGATTGTTCTTCAGTCTCTTACTCAGTGATTCTTCCTCGATTCTTCTTCAGTTCGGTGTTTCTCCTTCGATTTCAAAGTTCGATTTTGAGCACAGCTCCGTGATTTATCTCCGTGGATTTGGAACTACTCGTCTTCTTCGATCAGAGGTTAGTTATTCTGTTTGTGATTTATCTCTGTTTTGGATTAATGTTTTCCTTAGTGAATACTTTTGTTTAGGGCTCTATATAGGTCTTAAGCCCTTAGGGCTCTCGATTCTTCTTCACTCTCTTACTCAGTGATTCTTCTTCAATTCTTTTTCTGGTTGGTGATTCATCTCGGGATTGCGATTTCAAAGTTCTATTTTGAGCACAGCTCCGTGGATTTGGTACTCTTCAACTTCTTCGATCAGAGGTTAGTTGTTCTGTTTGTGATTTATACAATATGATATACAATATGATTTGGATCAGTGTTTTGAAAAATTAGTCTCAGTGATTTCATCTCTATTTCAGTAATTGTTTTTCACTGATGTGTTGCTCTGCACTGTGAGATCTAGATTGTGCTTTCAGTAATTGGTCTCAGTGATTTCATCTATGTTTAAATTGTGTTCGAGCTGTCATCGATGTGGTTATGGAGAACAACCAACTATTGATGAAGGACTACATCACAGCTGCTATTTGGTTTTCTAATTCTTTCAGAAGAAGTGTCATGATATTAATTGGATGTTGTGCCTTGTCTATTGTTTTTCTTTCTTGGAACTGTTATGTGGATTGAATGTTTAGATAGGTTAAAATCTGCAAGATCATAAGATTTGTATTAATTCATCTCATGGTGATGATGGCAAATTGAACAGTTAATTCACTTCTTTCATAAATTTTAGCAATTTATTCATTTTATAACAATCATGCAACAAAAAATGCATATACTAATATTGTTAAATACAATTTTATAACAAAATTGAATTGATTTTTATGCTTGCTAAGAAATATCCGATGAGAAGTATTGGATACATAACACATACCCTTATCCAAGTGTCAAGTGTCTAACACAAGTACTTTAAAGAGTCCATGTAACAGAATGCCAAGTATCTTGTCAATAGTGGCTTCATCAAGCTTGAATGAAAGGATAACCAACTTTTTCTTTGTTACTGCAAAATAATTCTTTTATTGTAAAAAAAAATTAACATATGGTTATAATGAAAGTCCTTATTGTTACATAAGTGGAAGGCATACATATGAACATTTTTCAACAAGTTGAACGTATGATGAACTACAATTTTTTCAAGCAACATATGGACTAGATCTAATGGTGATGCTTATGGAGGTATTGTGATCATTCTAATGTTATTTACCTGTGAATTGATTTTTAGGTCTGGAGATTTTAAATAATTTTTGCTGACGTTCTGGGGCTTTGGCCATTTATGCTGGATGAATTTGTTCAAGCTTTTCATGGTTATGTAAGTTCATGAGATCCTTGTGTTTAATTTTGCCTTTAGACTATTTGCTTTATCCTTACTCTCATCTTATTGTTTTAGCTGCTCCCTACTATTTTCAGGATCCAAGGTTGTTAGGGGAGATTCATGTAGCTCTTCTAAGATCCATAATTAAAGATATTGAGGATGTAGCAAGGACACCCTCTTCGACTCGGCTGGGAGCAAATCAAAATACTACTGCCAATCCTGGAGGTGGCCATCCACAGATTGTTGGAGGGGTAAGCTTTGTTCTGTGGTTGGTTTTTGTTGCTGCTTCTATCTTGTTGTCAATTGTGGTTTGATTTTGTGTTTATTCATTCTGAAATACTTTTTATTCCTTTATTTTACTTTTAGGCGTATGCTTGGGGCTTTGATGTACGCAGTTGGTAGCGCCACTTAAGTCCATTGACCTGGCATGAGATATTGCGACAATTTGCTCTATCTGCTGGATTTGGGCCAAAATTAAAGAAAAGGACTATTGAACAAGCATATCTGCAATGAGGCAGCTACCCTTGATCAAGAAGACACGGTTATTGATGAAAGTAACTCTGGTGAACCATGGGTTCAAGAACTTATGGAAGGCGAGTATTCTGATCTGAGTGTTGAGGAATGCCTTAGTGCCGTTGTTGCTTTAATTGGCGTTGCGAATGAAGGAAACTCAATTCACATTATTCTAGAGGTAATATTGTGTTTTCTCTTGACTTAAGGTATTTTTAATTATTATTATTTTCTGCTTTTGCATGTCTGTGATATGAAATGTGGGAGTTTTTCAGGAACGTTTGGCAGCCGCAAATGCTCTAAAGAAGCAAATGTGGGCAGAGGTACAACTTGATAAACACCAAATGAAAGAGGAGTATGTGACGAAGATGCAGTATCCATCTTACATCAGTGACAAGACTGAACCAAATGTTCAAATTTCTTCTGTTGAGGGCAGGCAAAGCTCATTGCCTACTGTTGATGACAAAAATGGTTTGGTATCAACAAATCCTGTAGAACAGAAAGAGCACCTTCATGATGCACAGAATGACTCAAACTATCCTATTCATATGCCTTCCGAACGGAACCCACAAATACAAGAGGTCTCTACATGCATGTATAATCTTTCACTCTTGAAACCTGGATATGCTGCTGAAAGGTCACGGTTGCAGTTAAAAGCTTATACTGGTCATAAGGCAGAAGAGATGTATGTATTCAGGTCCTTGCCTCTTGGGCAAGATCGCAGACAGAACCGTAGTGGCAGTTTATAACGTCTTCTTCTCGAAATGATCCTGGGTCTGGTATGATTTTCGTTGAGTTACATCATGGCTGTTGGAGGCTTATTGATTCTGAAGAGGTAGTGTTATTACTTAGTAATGCATTATTTTCTAAATTGTTGTTATGCTAGGTCTGAGAGTATGTTATGCATATATTAGTGCCAATTGTTATTTTCTTGTTTAGCAGCAGCTACTCCTTGTTTTTGTGCCCCTTTTCTTCAGGTATTACAAGTTTCTCGTGGTCTTACTTTTTATTAAAATTTCTTCAAGAGTTCCTACTTGGAAAGGATTGCATGCAGTAATTGGTGTTTACCCTTTGTTCTTTGAAATCTGCTGTTATATATGATGAATATAGTGTTCCACAATATCTGTTGTTTGTACCAATAGAAGTTTGGCAACACTGATACTGGGATGATTGTTAAAGCCTCATTAACATGCAGTGTTTTTATTCAATTGCATGTAAAACCAACAAAAGCAGGGTCAAGTATTGGAGTTACAGTTGCATATGGTGTTACTGATTCTCTTAGAAAAGCTAATGAAATAATTTCAGAGGTAATTATTCTTTCTCCTTCCTGTATCTTTCTATATTTTTTTTTTGACTTTAACAATGAAGCAAAATTTGAAATAGCAACTTTTCTAAAAAAGTTGTACCAATTTGATTTCATTAGGGTATGCCGAAATAAGTATTCAGTATCTGTGACCCATAAAAAATTTCGTTATCTATATTAGAAAGTAGCTCTCGTCTTATTATTCTCCCATTGTGCTTAGGTTTAGGCTTTTGCAATGAAATTTTCTGTGTTGTTGCATTGGTAATTCATCTAGTGAATGAATTATTGAAATTAAATGATATTACCATCAGTGGCTACTTTGTTATGATTTCTCTATGTAATGCATTTGGACATGGGAATGGCTCTCCATGGAAATGAAATAGTCTAGATTTGTTTTGATTATCTAGTGTTGATCCTTTTTCAGTTCTTCAGTATAGTAAATCTGTTTGTAATTATTCTTACAGGTGATTTACTCTGATGAGGATTGAAAGTTCGACAAAGATATTACTATTGGCCTAATTTGCAGTGAACTACTAAACCTTGCTGAGTACAATGTTCATATGGCTAAGCTGCTTGATGGAGGAAGGAATAGTACGTATAAGTAATATTGCTCTACACGAGTAATCCCTGAAGTAACATAACTAACTAGTTGGCATATAATGTGCAGAGGCTGCGACTGAGTTTGCCATTTCTCATGTTCAAACATTGTTGATCAATGATTCAAAAGTCGTTTCCAAACTTCATGATTTCGTTGATGCGTTGGCTAAGGTTTGTGACTATTCATTTTGTTTGATATGGTGGCTAAAGCTTATTTCGTACATTTAGTTTTACATTGACAATTGAGATGTGAAAGGGAAAATTATAGTGTATTTTTAAAATTTTTTATTTATGTTATGCAGTTGGAAGTGGTTGGCCCAGGAGGACCTCCGGATAGACATGGTGATGATGAACATCACTGATTGTTGAGTCCAGTGTTTCTTCCGGAATAAGATCTAGTGAGATGATGAGATAGTGTTTAGTATATTCTCCAGTTTCAGAATTCAAAAAGCTTGTGTTTTGTTTGCTTTTGCTGAGTCTTTAGTTCTCATGGTTTGGTGACATTCAATCTTTATGTTTTCCCCCCGCTCTTTTGGATGCTAGACGTGGGTTGGTCATCTATTGGAATTACGGATTCTATCAGTTTTCTTCAATACAACACAAATAATGGATGGCTACATTTATATTCAGTCATATTCTTTTGTAATAACAGCCCAGCCTTTTATCAAACAAGGGGATTGATGGTCACCGTGGACTTACTTTGTTTTGTTCTACTAGACGCCCTTCAGACTATTTTGCCTTTGAAATCATGCTTTTGATTAGTATTGAGATGGCAAAGGCATAATTGTTGTTCACTGGCTTATTCACTTTCTCAGCTCTGATTGTTGGAAATAGTGAAATTTTTAATATTTTCAATTTTATCCTGAGATCATACTAATTCATTTGAGCATTATCAATTCTTGATTTACTTGGGACCATTTTGATACAAACCTTGTGGAGAATTCACTTTTGAAAACTGGTTTGCAGAAGGAAGTATGTCCGAAAACTTATATTCGCATGGCTAAAGTTCATTGGACAATTTTATGATGATATTATATTATATTATATTTTAGTTCAGTTTATTTTATTGTATTCTAGTTATGTGTTTTGAATTTGAAACATGCATTGTGCCAGATGAGACTGATCATGAGCTAGAAAGTTGCAAACAATTTGGCTGAAAATTGAATAATGACACTGAACGCACGTGAAACTTGATTTTTGGCTAGACGTTTAGCAATAGCAACCATTATAGTAACTCCATCGAAGTTGGTCTTAGTTCAAGTTGAGGGAAAATTTAGCAATCATTTGGGTTTGTTGGTTTAGGAACCGAAATTGATTACATATTATGATTATGAATTTGGTTGGTTTTCAGTTTGTTGCGAAGGAGGAATTCACACAAATCTTTAATTGTGTTTAAATTATGAATTTAAGTAGAAATTTAAAAAGTGAGGGGAACAGAGATATTTTTTTTCTTTCTATTTTTTCTCATTTTTCTTTTTCTTTTTCAAAATCATGGTCCAAACACATCTTAAGAATTTTATTAAAATTTGTAATATTGTCTAATTTTTAATTGTCTTGTTAGAAATTGGATATGAAGCTGGAGGGTCAACTAAATATTTTGTAATAATCATTTCCTGCTAGAACATGTGTTTTCTGTAGGTTTCAGTGCTGTTTGCAGAATGATATAGGATATGTGAACTCCCCGGTGCAAATGATGCAGCTTGTGCCCATTATGTCTTACAATTGCAGCAAAGTGGATTGCTGAAAGGGGATGATTTGTCAGATCGGTTTTTCCGCTGTCTCACTGTAAATTTTCTTCTCTGAAATTATGTCCACAGTATTATAGTCTGAGTTCTGAATTCCTCTTCCCTCCATATTCTCTCTTATTTTTTTAACTCAGGAACTTTCTATGTTACATTGCCTATCTTCTAAGGTGATTAGTTCTGGCCCTCTGCAATCATCTCAACAAGTCCAGTCCCTCTCCTTCCTTGCTATTGATATCTGTTCAAAACTTGTCTTGTCGATCATAAAGGTAGATAGCTATTTCCCTCTGGATATATAATATGGTTTTCTTTTTCATGTTTATTATTCATGGCTTGACTTTTCATGTTGTAAATTGCTAGTTTTTCCCAGTAAATTGCTAGTTTAGATGAATTCAAGTTCTTTTTTTCTTGGAATAACAGCCATCAAGCTGAGGCATTTGATTTAAAAGTAGGGGCAGAACTTCTTTACATAATTCTCAAGAAGGTATTAGTTCATACTATGTTTTAGGGCCTTGTTAATGTGTGTCCTAAGTGCACATATATTTTTATGATTTTGATTGTACAAGCATAGAATGTACAATCATTCTAACCTTCATAACATGTGCCGTTAACAAAATCCTGTATTTTAAGTTTTAATAAACATATGCAGAACTACTTGCCTGTCTCTGTGTACATTCTTGTTCATGGCCATATGTGCATGTGTGCATAAAAAGTTTGTTTTTTGCATAATAAGAAAGGCATGGCCGTATTAATAGGTGTTTTGAGGAAGGGATGGGGGGCTATTTAACTGCTTGTGTTTGACATGTTTTATGTTCGAATATGAAGCAGAGCAGATGTGATTTCCATTTTGGACTTTCTGAATAGTTTTATGGATTACCTTTATTAGTTTTCTAGAACTCCAGCCAAATGCTATTTTTATTATTAGTTTTATTGACCATTGATATGACTCCATGGATGGACCCTTTGGCCTTTAAAGATGGTCTTTTGTTCATGAGGGTAGGGGCAAAGATCTACTTGTTGAAGTTAGGAATGATGAAAATGGAAGAGCTCTGCACCCTTTCCACGTTGGGGCCAGACTCCATGATTTCTCCTATTGTGCTTCCATATTCCATGAGTTTGGTACCATTGAGTCAGCCCTAAAGTTTGGATTTCAGCGGGTTCAGGGATCTTATATTTAAATATATATATATATATATATATATATGTTTATTTTGGTACAAATTCAAAAGGTGGTTGTCATGGAAAAAAGGGTTAAACAGGACGTCTACTGTGCATAAGTATTGGGTACAAATTCTTCAATTTATGTTTATTTTGGTAAATCTGATTACAGTTTATGTTCTAATGCAGACATGTAGACTAGTGAAGACTAACAATGAACTCTCTCATCAATTTGAATTTAACTCATCCAAGTTTGAAATTTATATTATAAGCAGAAATATATTTTTGAGTTGGGAATAATTTTCTTGGCAGTAGTTTGCCATCTCTTGTATAGTTGGATCCATCATTATAGCTCAACACTTCTTTCTCTGCTAATGTCTTTGCTAAAACATGATTTTTGGATATGTTATTTTGTGATTAATGGTGATTGGATATTAAATTGAATGGGAAAGTGAATTAATGTTGCATTTTGAATGGGAGTTATTATTTCATATTAGTGCTATTTTTTAGTTTAATTACATGTATTTTTTACTTCAATCACATAAAATTAGCACAATTAAAAAAGAAAAGAAAAGAAGAGGCTATCACGGCGTTTCTAAAAATGTCGCTAAATATTATACCAACAATTTGATTTTTTCTGAAAACAGAGACACGACGGCTTTTTAAAAACGTCGCTAAATAGCATGATGACGTCATATTACCGTTAGTAGAACTTTTAGTGGCGTTTTTAGAAAATGCCACCTATAGTCATATAGTGACGTTTCTAAACCGCCATAAAGTTATAGTGACGGCCGCATCTTCGGCTTTTGGTATTAAACGTCACAAAAGGATTTGACGGCGTTTTTGGGGCCTATAAACGCCACTAAAACCCCCATTTCCAACGGTGAATGCCAAATAAAACTGTTCTATATATTATGGAACTAGAGGTTACTTTTGTGTGGCCTTATATGGGGAGGGGTGAAGTAGGTTTACAAATTTACAACTTCTTCACAATATTTTGGATAAGATAAAACCTTCATTCACCATCACTTTTTATGCAAACTTTTTAATCATTTTCGTTTAGACAATTTCATAGATAAAATAGTTCTTTCAGATAAAAATCTGGTTATTAAAATTAAATATGGGTAAGACTAGAGACAGACCTAACCTTTGGCATTTGTATTATTCACACAAAGTGGCTTCTCTAAGACTCAAGCCCATCATTTTCATGCTTAGCAGACTGAGCTTTTACCATAGCACCAAACAATACCCCTAAGTTTTAGGTAGGCTCAAAGAAACTACATAAGAATGTATTGAGATTGTTACCTTGAAAACAGGTCTGAATCCACTCTCTCCAAGCTTATTGTCCATTGAAAATTTATTTGTAGAATTAGCTATTGTAGCAAAGTCAAACAAGGGCAACTCTAGATCTTCCTTCTCGCTTTGGTTAGTGTAACTTTGTTTGGAGTTATATGCTTGGTTTCTTGCAAAGTATGAGATGGAATGGATGTAAATGAGGCTATTTATTCCATCAAAGCAATACACTGCATATTGGAACACATTATTAAATAATAAATGAGAATACTTTCTTTTGGGTCCTTTCCTATTTGAATTAATAGAAAGACACGTATGTTTGCGACAAAATGACTCATCTGGATTACCTTATGTTTTCAGCTGTAAATTCTTCTTCTTCCTTTTTTGGACATACAACATTTTGCATAGACCCAACAGAAGCATTCCAATGAATAATATCAAGGTCAGTATGATTATGTCCCTTTTCTTGCGATTGGAGTGGCCTACGTGTTGGACTGTCAAGTTTTCCATTCAAACAAATGGTCAGCTCATTTAATGGTACAACCGTGAAAGCACACATTTAAATAATGCTTTACCCCAAATTCTATAGACTGCTTCAATCTATAATTAGATAAACCACTGCAGATATTCAGGAAATTTCATGAGGAAGTTGTTTAATCAGCTTATTGTTGGAATATGGGATTCCCATATATTGTGTGAATCCCATATATTATGTGATTACAGGATTTTAAGCATATTTTCTTATATTTGATTTTATTATTATTCTACCTTCCAAAATTGTAACCTCCTCAATTCAGTATATATATACCAAGCTAATCATACATTGTGATTAAGCCATTCAATTATATTCTTTTTCTTGGTATCAAAGCCAAACCCTTCTGTTTCTGGCAGCCCTAAAT